CAGTCTAATCTATTGCTGTTGTGTCAATTCAAGCTTATATTGATATTATAGGACAACAAAGGCATGTCCTATAGATTTACAGTACTGCATTTATTTCCTAGAGAGCAGTTATTGGGTTTGAACCTATAACCTTTTAGTAACAGTTGAATGCTTAACTTCTGTACTACTATGGACAGCTAAACTCAGTGTTGTTTTTGTATTGTGCCATCAAGTTGGACCCACCCCATAGCTCACCTTCCAGTGGGTTTTCAGAGGCCGTAAATTGCACAGGAAGAGACTGTCCATCTTCTTCCCAAGAAACAGCTCATGGATGTGAACTGTGTATCTCTGGGACTGCAGCTCAGATTCTTACCACTAGGCCACTAGAGCCCTTTAGTGGCAAAAAGAAATAAAAGCATGTGATCCATAAATTATAATCCATTGGGTCAAAGCTATGACAGAAGCAATTTTATTTTGCTGTGAGTACTGGAAAGAAAGAGTAATTAAGTCTGCCTGTGAGAACCAGAAAAACATTTCCTAACTGATGCCTGAAGGCAGCTGACCTTGTTCTCCAGCTTTATTATCATCTGCTTATTCCTCCTGCAGATCTTCTGCAATCAGAGTTTTACTTCTCTGTCATCCTTCCTCTTCGCGGTATATGATCCTCCAATAACTAGTGCCGTTCAGATATTGTGTATTGAAGTAAGTTATGTATTCAGCAAATATACTAAATGTCTACTAGTACCAGGTATGCTCCTAGATATTCCAACTATAAGAGTCAAGAAAATATGCCAAATCCCAGGTGACATTCTGGGTACAGGAAACAGTTAATAGTCAAGTGGACTTACAATCTGTTTGACAGCCATCAGTACTAAACTCAACTCACTGGAAACATTCTCCTATGATTCCCAGTGACCATGCAGGACAGAGAATAGCTGCACATAGGATTTCCGAGGATGTAAAACTTAACTGAATTGGATTGCTATGACTTCCTTCCATGCAAAGGATGGTAGGTTCAAACCTCCAACTTTTTGCTTAGCAGTTGATTTCTTTCACTTCTTCACCACCAGCTCTCCTTAATAAGTGTTACGGAAAATGAAGGTAAAACAGAGAAGCAACTAATACAGTTGGTGTTAGATTAACAGCAAAATGGTGGGGATGGGGTATTGTACCATATAGTAAAATCTAAGGAAGGCTGTTCCACTTGAATGATATTTGAGCAAAGATCTAAAGCTAGTGAAGGAATGAGTCACTTAACTATCTGGGAAGATATGAACTGAATGGAAATAACAGCAAGAATGAGTGTGGCAGGAGCATGGTAAGCAGTCGTGAAATACCACAAAGGGCTAGTTGTGTCTAGTAAAGAGACAACAAATGGGGGTAGAAATGGAGAAAGAACACAGAGGTAAGTGGGATGAGAAGGATCATTTAGGGTGGTAGGTGGGGCTTTGAAAGTTATTTGAGTGAGAAGTCAAATTATTAGGGCATCTTGAAAGTTATTTTGGATAGAGGAGCAGAGTGATCTGGCTGCTGTGTGGGAAAAAGATTATAGGGTAGGCAATGATAAGACCTGAAGGACTAGTTAGGAAGCTGTTTATTCAGGGGGAAAGAGGTGGTGGTTTAGGATAGGGTGGTAGCTAACAAGGCCTGGCAGATGTTGCTTTTGAAGGTTAAGAGAGGAAGGGTTCATTTTATATAAGTCAAGTATGTTCTCTCTTTTTCTATCTCTGTTTCTGTATGTCTACTTCCATCTTGACCCAATCTATGAAACACACAGTGATTTCAACAATGGCTTCAAGCTTATCAGAGATGATAATTGTGGCATGTTAGGAGGTTTAGATATGTTGTTCACAGGACTTCTATGACTCATAGTCAATTCAATAGCACCTAACAATAATATTGCAGAGCAGAGAGCAGCCAGATAATTTCACTCCTCTATTCAAAATAATTTCCAATATGAGCTTATTACAGAGAGAAATATATAGATTGAGATAAAGATACTGCATCAAGAAATAGATATCAATAGATATAGGTAACATAAGGAATCAGTTGACCAGTTGCCACAAAGCTGAAAAGTCCATATTACCCAGCTATTCTACTTCTTAGAATATATCCTGAGAAAATTAGAACTGAGTACAAACAGAGATTTGTACCCCAATGTCCATATCAGCTTTATTCACCATTGCAAGAACATGGAAACAGCCTAAATATTCAACCACAATCAAATGGATTGAGAAATCATGGTGTATTAACATGATGTAATACTACACAGCATGCAGGAGCAATGATTTGAAAAATCACTGCCATAGGTTAAAGAAGGCTCAAAGGCACACAGCAACAACAACTACAACAACATATTACCATTATTATTATATTGATTGTTTTTTATTTATGCCTTTTGTTTAGAGTCAATAAGACCTCCTGTAGGGTCTGTGTATTTAAAAGTCAGTTGTTATTATATTTTGAGGAACATTCTTCTAAGTAGTACAGCACTCTTCTGTCAGTTTACTGTACTGAGGTAAGCTGGGGTTGATGTGATGCTGAACCTTGAGCCAATGTGGGTGTCAAATGCTATAACAGTTTCCTATGGTGGACAGTTTTGGTGTAGTTCTCAGTTTAAAACAGGTTTGGAAGCAGGAGTAGCATCCACTTGTTAAACAATACGCCTCTGAAAACTCTATGAACTTTGAGAAAAGACAATAGTTACAGAAAGACTTCAGGTCTTTTGTTCATAGGGCTCCTGTGGGTCGTACTCGACTCAATGCTATTAAGAACAACAACAACAAAAATGTGGGAAGTACTGGAGAGCATTATACTACGTGAACTAAATCAGCCCCATAGGGATGAATACTGTATAAGACCATTACTGTAGAAATAGAAAGATGACTAGTAAAACATATATGAAGATCCAAGTGGAGTTGGGCAGGAGCAGAGGAGTGAGGATAGGTCGGGGGGATAATCATAGGGTTGAACAAATTGATGAGTAGAGTGAGGGATGGATAAAGAAAATGGAAAAGAACAACAATGAAAAACAATGTATATGAACTTTGTAAGTAAACTAGTATAAAATATTTTTTTTAAAAAGAAAGTATATTTTAGGAAATACAATGCTATGCATTATATACCTTTGTAAACAACGTATCTAGTGAATTTGACAGCACCCAACAACAACAATATATATTTTTGCTTGGAAAAGTAGGTCAGTGAAAGGAAGTGGGATAGACTGACATAGTAACAATAATAGGCTGGCAGTGGCAGAGACTATGAAGATATCACACACAGGGCAAGGATTTAGCCTGTGGTTTATAGGTGTACTATGAGCCTTGGTCAATTTGTTGACACTTAAAAACAATAACAATACATATTTCATCATCACAACACTATAAAGCCAAAATCGGACACATACAGTTTAACTGGTTCCAACTCAATGCTCCAGTTGGTTTCTGAATTTGTAAATCTTTATGGAAGGAGATGGCCCATATTTCAACTGCAACAAATTTCGAGTACTTTAACAGCACATAAAGCATAGACTAATAACTGAAATACGTACCTCCTATTACACAGAGGGGAAAACTGAGACTCAGTGAATTTAAAAGGTTTTTAAAACAGAAAGGAGCATCTAGTTATCTATTACTTGTACACAGGAAGAGGAATGAACAAGGGAATAATTTGATGACTCGTATCCCAGACCACTTGGGGCCTGTGTTAGGTACTTATCTCTCTATTGTACCACTGAACATATGATTCTTCAATCCTGCAAGTTATTAATACAAGTATTGAGAAATATTTAAAAATCTCAATGCTTAGAAAAAATATGGAAATTAACTAGTAATGCAAATGTTACTATTTTTGTAGCAGATCAGGGGAATCTAATGTCAGTCACGGGCAAAGATAATATTAGTTAAGTTCTGATTAGTTTAAGACCATAATTCTTCACAATATGGAGAATTTATTTTTTTTGTCTTGATACAAGGGAAAAAGAAAGAAAAAGAATAGTATTTTAACCAATTCTGCCTCAGGGTGACACGTACTGTGTTGTTAAGTAGAACTGTTCCATGTCTGGCTTTAATGTTTATGGTAGCAGATGATTTGGCTTTTCTTCTGAGATGCCCCTGCATGGACAGGTTGGAAGTACAACGTGTAAACTATTTGCACTATTCAGAAATCATGTACACATTTTTAATGGACAGTTTTAGGTTATGTTAATTTTATTATTCATTAAGATCAAGTTGTAATATTTTAATTTATCCTGAAGAGCACTACACTGGATCACTGTTGACTTGTCCTTTTCTTTAGCTTTTCTACTTAACTGAAACATAACAAAGACTGTTTTTCACATGAAACTAACATAATGGTATTACTTTGACTCTCTCCTATTTATCTTTTTATGTACTTATTTGTCTGTATATTTATTCTTTCTCTAATTTTCAAAAGAAATACCAAAACAAAACAAAACCCACTCCTGCTGAGGCCATTTTTGACTCAGAGTTACTTTCCATCAGGTTTCCAAGATTGTAAATATTGAAGGAAGGAGACTCTACCCCTCTTTCTAAGAGAATGTGACTGGTAGATTTGAATAGATAACCTTTCAGTTAGCAACCTACCAATACTGCACTATGCCACCATTCTTAAATAATATAAAGTAAGTTTAAATTACATTTTTATCAGCCAGATTATTAGTAGAATTTAGTTAAAAGTACAGTAGAACAAAAAAGACAACTTACAGAAAAAACACTAGGACAACTCTATAATATTGCATAATTCGGTAAAATGTTATTTTCTTGTTGAGCATGAGCCATTTTCAAAAGCCTTGTCTTTAGGTCACAGGCTTCCCAATTGTTAAACATATAAACTTCAACAATGCAGTAAATAATAAATAATGCAACTAATTATCTCCGCTTGTTCATTTGAAGCTCACCATTTTTCTGTGCATGTCATTAAGATGCATATTTTGTTACAGAGCTTTGTGTCTATAACTTAATCCCCTTCAGTGCTTTTATACTGATGACCCCAGTTCTTACCAGATGGAGTAGGGATCCTCCTGAGGAAAGAGGAGTGTGAGGATCAGCCCCCTCCTTCAGCAGTCGAAGAACTGTAGGAATGAAAGAAGAGGAAAGAGTTATAACAAACCTCAACTCCACAGTCTGAGCCAAAACTTGTAGGATTTCGTTTATACAGAAAATGCAATAGACCATGAAATCTAAAGAGAAGGCACGGACTACGTGCAGCATTTATCTATGTATTAAGGAATGTATGATTGGTAGTCCTTCTCTTTGTACAAAATATATTCAGATTGCCATTATTATGAGTACCTATTACAGCCACACAAATTATTAAGAAGGTATTAAGTTTTCTATAGGTCTAGTTTACACATTCTTCACAAAATTGGAGATTAAAAAATACTGAACTGAGTAATAGGTGAATATTTATTATGTAAACTCCTTATGAACCATTAGCTTGAAACAAATGACATTACATTTTGTAAATTAAACTTGCATCCAATAGTAGAGACTTCATAATTTTCACAAAACATTGTGGGCCCAAGTTATTTCTTTCTAAATTTACAATGTCAAATGAATCATAATCTATATCAATTATCAAAATGAATGCACAGTAGGAAGATGACCTATGTTTCCATCTGAAAAGCAAAGGTGAATCCATTAGGAAATGGGATGCCACAGGACAATATGGGATTGATCAGATTACAACTTCTGCTACTTGAAGTGAGGCTGTAAAACAAGCCCTGATAGAAAGGGTCATCTAGTCCCTGAAGTGTTGTAGTAGTCACCACTTTGTTAATAGCAGTGGTCTAGTTTTAATTTTAAAAAAAAAAACACGCTAATGCATTTTCCTTCTGTTTAAAAACCCATGAGGGTGGGGCACTGTGGTGCTGGAGTCATCTATATTTGTTTTTTTGGTTTTTTTAACCAAACATTCTTCTAAGTGGTATATAGCACCAGTGGTCTGTGCATTGTTATACAGAGGTAACTTGTGGTTGCTGTGATGCTGAACACTGTGACACCCATGTGCCAAATGCAATAATGGTTACCCCCGGTGGACAGTCTTTGGTGGAGCTTCCCGATTAAAACAAGCTTGGAAGCAGGAGTGGTATCTACTTCCTAAATGGCTTGCCTCTGGAAACTCTGTGAACAGTGCTCAGGTCTTTCATCCATAGGGTTGCTATGAGTCGTCTACAACTCGACAGCACTTAACAACAACAACAAAAATGCATTTTCCACCCAAAAGCATATTTTTTTCCATTTCATTATGAAACACAGTTATAAAAAATTGACACAGATTTAAACTGATAGTCCATGGAAACATACTTTTAAGTGTTGCAGTAACCAGAAATGTTACTTTAATAAACCTTTATTTTGTGTGCCTCAATTATTTTATGTGCTCCAAATATTGTGCATTTCTCTGATTTCCTCAGCAGTCAAGATGGTCATGGTCAACCCTGCCAAGTTTTCTCTGCAACAAGATCATTCTCTTTAATGGGTGCAGAAGGTATGAGATGGAGACAGGCTTTCCAACTTGCAAACCAGGCCAGTTAAATGCATGCTGGCAGCTACTGTGGGGAGAATAGTAACTCTCCCACACCCAGACCATTCTGTCCTCTTCACAACTTCCCTTTATCCATTGAATTCCTTTGCCCAAGCTCTCTATAAGGAGAAATCAGACCCATTTCAATTCTCTGAGCAAACACAATACTTCGTTCTGACCTCTTTGACCATACAATCTATTCTTGAAAAAAATAGGAAAACCTAGAAAAGTGTTCCTACACTGATGTTCCAGAATGGATACATTTCTACATCTACACATTAATCAAAGACTTTCACTTGACAATTATTTTTTCTTCAATTAAAAAGTAAATTATTTTTTCCCCTTGTTTTAATTGAGATTTTAATGAAAGTTTTTAGAGAACTTTAATTTCCATTCATTTATTGTTGTACATTTTCCTCCCTGTTCCCAAGCTCACTTTTCTTTTGGGGAAAAAATAATCTTTCATTGTTGTACAATTCCCCACCCCCACTCCAGTCCACTTTACTATGCAACTCATATTCTGGACTACTGTCATGCAAATGATACCCAATCGTGCATTCCTTTTAAGCAGTTCTTTCCCTCATCTGTTTCAATGCACAGTGTACATTATTTATCCCTTCTTTTCCCCTCAACCCCGATGTCAGACCTGTTTTATCACAGTAGCATTATGTGGTATTTGTCCTTTTGTGACAGAGATATTTCACTCAGCACAATGTCCTCCAGGTCAACTATTTGTATAATATTTCATGAGTTCCTTGTTTTCAGTACTGCATAGTATTCCTTTGTGTGAATATATCATAACTTCTCTATCCATTTGTTTGTTGATGGGCACTTGGGTATTTTCCCATCTCTTTGCTCTTGTGAACAATGCAACAAGAAACATAGGTGTGCGTATATCTGCTTGGGTGGCAGTTCTGGTTTCTTTAGGGAATATTCCCCATAGTGGAAATGCTGGGTCAAATGGTATTTCTATTTTCAATTTCTTATACTTCACATCCAAGTCTCCTGCAACAACAAACTCATGATTATCAAGTTAGAACCAAGTCATAGCTGCTCCTGCAGTGGGTTTTAAGAAGCTGTAATGGAAGAGGGGGCATTATCTATCTTTTCCCTTGGAGCCAACTGATAGATTTGAGTCACCTACCTTTTGTTGGCAACACAACTCTTTAGCGAAGGCAAGAGCCTATGGTGATGAAGGAGGAAGTTCAAATTGCTCTGAAGTAACTGGCAAAAAACAAGGGTCCAGGAGTTGACGGCACACAATTGACATATTTCAACAGACACTGCCCTGGATGTGCCCACTAAGTTTTGCCAAGAAAGCTGGAGGAGAGCCAGCTGGCTGACTGACTGGAAAAGATCAAAATTTGTTCCCATTCCAAAGAAAGGTAACCCAATGGAGTGTGGAAATTATCGAAAAATATCATTAATATCACATACAATCAAGATTCTGTTGAAAATAATCCAAACACATTGGGAAGAATATGTCAACGGAGATGTGCCAGATGTGCAGGCTGGATTTAGAAGAGGTCGTGGTACCAGGGATATTATAGCTAATGTAAGATGGATCTTGGCAGAAAGCAGAGAATACCAGAAGAATGTCTATCTGTGCTTCATTGATTATGCAAAGGCTTTTGACTGTGTGAATCACAACAAGCTATGGCAGACTCTGAGAAGAATGGGAATCCCAGAACATTTGATTGTGCTAATGCAAAAGTCTGCTGTTAGGTACCTATCCAAAGTACTGAAGAACAATGGTGTCTCTCTGGAGACTAAGGTGCATCTGATACAGGCCATGGTCTTCGCAATCACTTGCTATGCATCAGAGAGCTGGACAATGACCAGGGAGGATAGGAGGAGAATTGATGCCTTTGAGCTGTAGTGCTAGAGAAGAGTATTGAGAATACCATGGACTGCTAGGAAAACCAACAGATTTGTCCTGGAAAGGGTTAAACCGGGTGGCTCCTTGGAGGCAAAGATTCTGAGGCTCCGTCTAACATACTTTGGACATCTTGTGAGGAGAGACCGGTCCTTAGAGAGGGACATCATGCTTGGGAGGGTGGAGGGACAGCGCAGGAGAGGAAGGCCCTCTATGAAGTGGATTGATTCAGTGATAGGGATAATTGGGATGGGAGTGTCAGATACAGTGCGATTGGCACAGGACAGAGCGGAGTTTAGGGCTGTTGTACATAGGGTCGCTATGAGTCGCAGGCGACTCAACAGCACATAACAACAACAACAAATGTGAAACCTATACTTGGACCAAGAGGCAGTCATCAGACAGAGCAAGGAGACACTGCATGGTTCAAAATCAAGAAGGGGGTCCATCAGGGATCTATTCTGTCTCCATACCTTTTCAACCTGTATGCAGAACATATCATCAGAGACGCTGGGCTGTACAAAGAGGAATGTGGCATCAGAATTGGTGGAAGAGTCATCCACAACCTATGTTATGCAGATGACACAACCCTGCTTGCTAAAACTGAGGAATACCTGAAGCTCTTGCTTCAGAAGGTCAAGGGCTGCAGCCGCCTATGTGGATTGAAGCTCAACATCAAGAAGACAAACATTCTCACCAATGGGCCAATTGGCAGCATCAGTATGGATGGTGAAGAGATTGAGATAGTTAACAGTTTTCGTTTACTTGGCTCCACAGTCAACACTCTTGGTAACAGCAGCCCGGAAATCAAGAGACAAATTGCATTGGGAAAGTCAGCTGTGAGGGACCTCTTAAGAGTACTGAAGAGCAACGACTTCAGGCTGGAGACTAAGGTGTGCCTGATCTGAGCTATAGTCCTCACAATTACGTGCTATTCATCAGAGAGACGGACAGTGAATAGGGATGATAGAAAGAGAATTGATGACTTTGAGCTACGGTGCTGGAGAAGAGTACTGAATATAGCATGGACTTCTAGGAGAACGAACAGGTTGATCCCGGAGAAGGTGAAGCCGGAATGCTCCTTGGAGTCAAGGACATACTTTGGACATGTTGCAACGAGGGACTGGTCCTTGGAGGAGGACATGATGTTTGGCAGAGTGGAGGGGCGATGAAGGAGAGGAAGACCTTCAATGAGATGGATCAATTCTGTGACTGGAGTGTGAGAGTAAGTGCACTTGGGATGGCTAGGTTGGCACAGGATAGAATGGTGTTTAGAGCTCTTGTACATAAGTTTGCTATCAGTTGCAAGTGACTCGATGGCACATAGCAACAACAGCTAGCTTTCCCTTTCATCTACCCATCCAGCCAGACATCCAGTCATCCATCCATCCATCAATTCATCCATCCATCCTCCCACCTATCCATACACCAATCAACTCATCCATTCAGCTCTCTGATAGTTCATTGTTTTCAAGTGTAAACTGACTGAAAATTATCTCCAAACTACACATTGTGATTTTAGCACATGGTGAATTTAGAATGCATGTACAGGTAATTTGATACCAAAGTCGTATTTCTTAACAAAATCAACCCCCCCACACACACACACAAAAACACCCATCAGGCTGGAGAATCTCAAGATTATATAAATCAATAGGTATTTTAATGCCCTA